CTAAGAACTAACTTAAAAATACAAATTATTTATAGCTGGCTTGAAATGGAAATAATTTCCATTTTTAACATTTATTTATTCATTTTTATTAGTTTAACCCTCAGCAACATTATATTTTCTATCTTTATAGCCCTGTTTTTTTTAATGTTTCTATGTTTTTTTTCAAAAATCTAAAGTTTGGTATTAAAACAATAATTTTTAGTGCAAATTTTCTTTCTAATCAAAGAGGTTGTCTGCTTCGGTGTCTAGGCTATTCCAAAGTATAGCACCCCTAAACGAAAATGACTTCTGCTCCTTTAATTCAGTGATCGCTAGACTTGCATTTTCCTAACTGACATCCTTCCGAACAACGTTTTAATGCAATTTTTGTTATTGGTTGATGAAGGCCCTTCTTATAGCGTAAAATGGAGCGCACTTGAACTGGCTTTAAATCTGTCTCAAAACTGGGAGGTTTAGTTTAACCAATCTGAACATGTTGCCCACTTTCTTGCTCAGCCTCGTATTCAAAGCTTGACTTACCTAGCAATGATATAGAAGCACCGAAGGCGCTAGATGTCTAACTGGGCATAATTGCCCATTGAGCTGGTGAGGCAAAATCACTCAAGCGGTAAAAGGGCAAAAAGACGATTCTGCATAAGGGCTCAGTACGGGAAATTGCAAATCTGACGAATAAAAACCAAGATTATCGAAAATTAGCATAATTTTGAAAGGTTAGTTATACTTTGCTAGCTTGCCGTATTAATTTCAAAAGTTTTAAGCCATAAATTGTGTTGTTAAATAGGGTTTCAAGATTTTTAAAATATTTATTGCTGCGGCGCGCGCACGGTCCACTCTGGCCTAGGCAATGTTTACCTTTTCAGGTAGACTGTTTTCGAGTTTATTTGCAAAATACCAAATATAATTTCAAAATTGGGTTTATTTTGTATTTTATAAGTTGAAGGGTAGATGTAAGCAAGTACTCTTAGTCTTATATCATTATGACAACTTGTTAAATGAACACTCCCCTACTTCGGCAACCCCCTGCATATGACTTCTAGTAAAAATTCCAGATGTAATGAGTGAAAAATTTTATTATAAATATCCATTTCAAGTTTTTCCTATGACAAGACCTTCCCTCTAACATTCATCAGCAAATCAGACTTTTATTTACGGACATCAGGATGTTGTAGGAAGGGGGCGTGGCTGAACCAAGATTGAAGATGACCTCTTTTACCACGGTTCCTTAATGTTACGATAAAAAATTAACACAAGATTTTTGTATAAGCGCGACATTTTTGTAAATAAGCCCAAAAATAAACTTCCTAGAAATATAAATATTCTCTAAACCAGAGTGCCCTTATCAACGCCACGGTAAAAAAAAAATTTAAAAATCTCAAAACCCGTGTACAAACAAAAATTATGGCTTAAAACCTTCTAAATGCATACGGTAAGCTGACAAAATATATGTTACCTTCCTAAATTAAATAGATTTTCTAAAATTTTTGGTTTCGTTTGCCAGCTTCGGAATTTCCCATACTGAGCCCTTATGCGGAATCGTCTTTTTGCCCTTTTACCGCATGAGTGATTTTGCCTCACTTGAGAACAATAGAGTTAGACATCTAGCGACTTCGTCGCTTATATATCATTGTTACCTAGCTTGACCAGTGAGGTGAATATATATGACTTAAGTTCCTTTAATTATGCTAATAGCCATGGGATGGTCGTTTCCTTTTGCCCCCCCTGGTTTTCTCTTATTGCAAACGTGAAAAGTGACAACCATGCTTTTTATATGGATATGTTATTCAACTGGTCGGATGCAAGAAACCTAGAAATTTTACCGTATTGAAACTTCAAAAACATTATATCAGCAAATTAAATATTTTATGATTTATCTGTGCAATTCATTTTTAAATAAAAATGATATTATTCCTATAATCACGTTGATATACGGGCTGATCCGAATAAAGTTTGATATGTAATACAGGACATAATTTCTCTTTTCTTAAAAGGCTCTTGCGTAACCGGCATGCTTAGCGGCAATTGTCTTGAGCAATTGACCTCCGCAGAGGCTATTGGGGAGGGAGATCGGGAAGGGAAAAGGATAGAATAAAAAGAACTGCTGAAGAAAAGAAAAAAATGATGGGCCTGCGAGGGAGAAGGAGGAAGATAGTTGCGGCACACCGTATTTTCCCTCTCCTTTTCTGCTCCACCCTCTCTCTCCTATTCTCCGCACCCTCGCCATTTCCTAATCCCCATCTCCCTAGGCCGGTCTTTTTATTTATAGTCACAAAGCGTGCCGATTGCGCAGGAGCCTTTAAACGTTCACCTAGAACTGTATTATATATATAGGGAGTTCATTATAAAACAGGAGTGTATAGACATATATCTTGCTCTCACATTCGCTTGTTTTAGGTACAACTAGCAATTGGGTATGGCACTTCACCGGATTTAGCAAGACAGTTCCCTGTATTTTCGGCGATTGGAATGGGTTGTGGTAGATTTATCTCTGGCTTTATCGTCGACAGCAAGAAATTCAAAACAATCAACTACTACCAGTCTGTATTGTTTCTAAATGGGTTGACAGCAGTCATTGGATCATTTTCATACACCCCAATACATTTGATTGTCTATATTTGGGCATTTTCCTTTCTGGATGGGCAAATGCAATCTACTTTTGCACCAGTTGTTAGGGAAGTAGTCGGTATGACGTACATGACTGAAGGCTTTGCAATGGTCTTTACCTCATGCAGTGTATCCATGATGCTTGGACCACCTTTATTAGGTATTTGTAAGCAACAATTTTTTATTTGTGCTGTCATTTATAAGAGGATGTTGTTATTTCTTAAGCAATTGCGTAGGTATTCTACCAAAAGGGTAGCAACTAACGAGTTGTGATTTGCACTGAGAATTGCCGCATAGAATTACCCTTGATTCAATAGATTAAGAACGGGGAAAGCAATTGCAAATGAAATTGTAAAGGAAAGGAGAGACCATTGACTCTCTAAGGCTCTGGTACCCAGGGTAGCGGAAAATGTGTAATTGGACTAGTACCAAAAGTCTATGCATGGCGTGTAGATGGTTGTGCAGCTGTAAGATCACCGATAAAGCTAACAGTAAATTCATACATTCTCAATGCAGTGCGGAGCCTATTGGAGTGTACAACTCCTGCACACTCATTCTTCCATCTTTCCATGCTATGGCAAGCTGTGATGCAGCAACTTAAATGTTTAGGGCTCGCAAAGTCAGAATTATGAAAAAGCTCATGAAGGATCCAAAGTTATGTGGCTACTTGCCTTCAGTAGGATAGTGTACACATTTTTCAAACGAGGATACTACATAGGTGAAGGACTTCTTCAAAAATAGTCATATACGTAATCACCGGATGAAAACGAGATCAACCATGTCATTGCAGCCGTTGCCCCCAGACCCTGATTCATCTGTCCAAGCCATTCTTAAATTGCATTTTCAATTTGTCGAGTTTAATGAAAAGCATGCTAAAAATGTAATATTGACTACTTCTATTGGAAGGCATCAGCAACAAATTCCACCTAGTTTTACCTTAAAAATGCAGCATTAAGAAGAGAACACGCCGTCTAACGTGAGCGATGCAAGCACGTAAATATAGCTAGTAGAGAGAAATAGGAGGTGACTAGATACTAGAAGTTGCATAACCTTGTTAACACCAAACTTTCTTTGCGAGATTTTTGCGTTGCGTTGTTTGATATTCATCACTGAAAGCTAACGTTTTTGATTTTTTCAAGTATGGACATTTTCTGTCCTTAGGAATGGATTCTTTTTTATACTAACATTACAATCCTTTTAATAACATATTTTACACTTTAAGAGGATTTTTGACAAAGAAATTAGTTTTGAATGCATGTTGATTCGCTATTTTGATAATTTCATGAAATTTATAAATACCTATTTGTAAATGGCTTTGAAAAAAGCAAACATTTAGTAAACTAAAGCTTTTTGTCTGAGACTCTTCAGAGTTTAAAACGTCAGAACATAGATCGAAAACTCTAAGCTAAGAAATATATATACCCAGTTGTGGATCGAAATAGGCCAATCAGAAACACGAGCACGTGACTGTATAGGTCTAAAACTACCCTGGATCGGTAGCAGCTCTCTAAGTTTTGAAAGCCAAATAAAACAGGCCATTACAAATTGTTTCTTTGCGGTCAACCCACGTGTTGTTTATAGTACGAAAAAGGCCCTTCCGTCCACTCAAAAGGACTGCGTTCCTGCCACACAAAAAAGTTCTGTTATATACGAATTTACGTGCCAGTGTAATTCTGGCTACGTAGACGCACCACCCAAAGATTGGAGGATAGAATAAAACAACATGTTCCATCTAATATTAGAAGCAAAACCCATCCCCAAAAGAACAGCCACCTCGGTCTTGCAAATCTAAAATTACAACTAAAACCTGCGATTCTGCTATCGGGCAGCATTTACTAGAAAACCCAGATTGTGCAAAAACTATAATGGCGACATGTTTCGGATTATTGGTAAAGCCCGATCGCAGTTTTAGAGTCTATCTTCATAAGCACGAAAAAACCGCTACTGTGTAGACAAAAGGAGTTCGTTTTCACCTTAGGACTCCACTGGTAACATTCTAATAGGCAAGCGGCACTGATTGGTCAACCTTTACAGTCACGTGCTCGTGTTTTTGATTGGCCTATTTCGATCCACAACTGGGTATATATATTTCTTAGCGTAGAGTTTTCGATCTATGTTCCGACGTTTTAAACTCTGAAGAGTGTCAGACGAAAAGCTTTAGTTTACTAAATGTTTGCTTTTTCAAAGCCATTTACAAGTTTTGTACCACCAAAAGATTGTTTAAATGCCTATTTCTTGCTATCTGTAAGAAACACAATAGTGGTAACTTAGAAAATTTTTCTTTAAATGGTGAGTTTTACTCGTTGGAGTAGAACAATTTTGAGAGTCTTAAAAAAAATTTTTTGTAGCTTGCAGAAAATGACGTTATCAAAATGGTGTCATTTAAATGAAGTACAAACCTTGATGTTATTTGGTTCCTTCTGGCTTCTTTCAGGCTTTATAGTTGACAAGACTCAAGACTACAGAGCGTTCTTTCTGCTGTCAGGGATACCTCCAATATTAACATGTCTGCTTCTGACGCCACTTAGGTATATGGAAAAAGTCGAAGTCCCTGATAAAGAAGTAAACGAGAAATTGACGGACGAGCAAGATATAGAGGTGGATGTTGAGGTAATATTTAAAGATAAAGATATACTTAGGTCAATGCGCTTAGAAACACCTGTATGATAAGATTCTAAGGGACTGGTCATTAAGGACTCATTGCTAACAATGAACCATTGCGCCACGCAAGCATCCCATAATGCATTTCAGACAGTCTGAAATCAATTTTGGTTAATCCGTAGAAGTTTACTGCCATTGTTTGGACCGTCGCCACGCTCGCAAAGGCCCATTGTTAGCAATGAATCTTTAATGCTTATTTTAAATATGGGGAATATATTTTAAAAAAAGACAGTACCAGAAACTGTGCCTGGGTAAAGTGAGAAGGTTTTGCAAGTTTACCTTACAGCTTTCGGTCCTCTACTTGTCTGACAAATAAACTCTTAAATAATGCTTTTCCTTTTATGTAAATAGTGCTATTTATTGAAAAAGGGGGTAAAAATTTGTTCTATTGTCACAGAGGAGACAGATCAGTTGTTCATAGCAAAGAAGGTATTGAAAAACAAACGAAGAATTTGAAATTTACTCTACCCCCTCTTAAGTAAAGATTATTGGCCGGTCAGTTAGTTACGATAAGCAGCGTGTTTGAACAAGCAACTTCTCAAATTCAATAAGCTTCGTTTTAAAGGAACTAGTTTAATTCTCCAAGATAATGTCTTGGAAATAAGAATTTCCTACATCAAAAAGTGTTTTTAAAATGTAATATGGTATTTGTGTAACAATGCCAACTGTTATTTGATAACGTCAAGTGGAATATAATTTTCTGAAAGATCAAAGACAATTTGTAACTTTTATTCTTAAGTAATTGAAAAAGCATTTTGAATAATGAAAAAGGAGTCCAGTTATCTTGAAGTTCTATGTTCTCTGAGAGAATTTTGCATGAAGAGACCCCGGAAAATTTTTTATATACAATTTTTCTCACTATTTTCCACATGTAAGGAAGACTACGTTCTTCTGAAATGAATACCTAAGTTTTGAAAATTGCCCTAAAAAATCAACATGTTCAATTAGAGACATTTCCCATTTGCTGCTTTCTCAGTGGAAATAGAGTTTGATGTTTCAATTCTAAAAAGCGCTTAATTCCAATAATAAAAATTTTATGACTTCACAATTGTATTTGTTTCTTTGAAACCGTATTAACATTATGTCTCAGACATTGCCCGAAGTATTGGTGGCCGCACGTGTAAAAGCCTGTAGAAATGTAAATCTAAAACAAAATAATCTTTGTTGCCACATTGAAACCAACCCTGTTTTCACTCAGGGGTACCGTCCTAAAAGGTTGGAAAGAAGGGCTGTGCTGTAGGGAATTTCGAGAAGCGACATCCAAAACACCTCATTTATTTGCATTTGAGCTTAAGACTCTTTATAGAGTTCTAAAGTGATCACGTCACAAAAACATTTTTTTAGAATTTTTTAATTTGGATCTCATAACCTGAAAGAGCATCAAGAAATACCTCTAAATGGGCAAAATCGGGCAAGTGTGTTACGAATTGGCAGCAATATGTTTATTGGTTCTCTCCCCATCAAACCTTTGTATTTTATGAACAGAGCCTTCAAATCTTTCATTCGCCATATCTCAACAGATTTTAGGCCAATTAGCCATATCTCAACCAATTTTCTGGCCAATTTTGCGTATTTGAAAGTATTTCATGGTGCTCTTTTACGCTATGTGGCTAAAATTCAAAAATTCTAAAAATAGATTTTTGATGACGTCACCGATTCTAAAATGATGATAGAAATTGCTTATTCTTGGAAAATCAATAGCATAAAGGCCGGGTTACACGATCACTTTTTACCATCACTTTTTTCGATATTGGACCAACATGCTGAAAAGTGATCGTGTAACATACTAAAATTGTCCATTTTCGCTGCAGAATTTAATGCGTTTATCTGCTGTTAATCCTCTATCATTGGAAATTTTACTCTGAACGAAAGCAGAGTAAAATCGAGTTCATCATTTTTTTTCAAAGGCGCCGACAAATTCTTACGTCACATGATGTTTTGATGAGAAGGGAACGGCCTAGAGTTTCGAGAAAAGAAGAAAAAGACGCGAATTGTGCTCAGAAGCATAATTATTAGGAGAAAACGAAAATGAATAATGATTTGGAGTAAATCGAGGAGGAGCCAATTACAGAAAAATAAATGCAGTTTAATAAAATAAACTCATTTTTTATAAGAAACCGTCTATAAAAGCCAGTACTCGAAAATGAGAAAAGGTTAAGAAACTCCAATACTCGAGCAAGAAACTGCAAAACTAATATAGATTGAGAATAAGCAAAAATCAAGAATTTCTTGATTTTATATTGCTAATTTTGACTAAACTTACTTACACTACAAACTTAAAAAAAGAATAAAACTACACAGTGATTAGGAAACCAAATTTAAAGTATCGAGGCTCTTGTTTTTCGAGAATAACACAGAAGTATTCTAAAAACTCTTGAGCTCTAAAATTTTGTGAACCTTAAGGAACTGGTGTACTCCCTGTCGAGGATGGTTTTTTATAAAAAATGAGTGTATTTTATTAAACTGCATTTATTTTTCTGTAATTGGCTGCTCCTCGATTTACTCCAAATCATTATTCATTTTCGTTTTCTCCTAATAATTATGCTTCTGAGCACAATTCGCGTCTTTTTCTTCTTTTCTCGAAACTCTAGGCCGTTCCCTTCTCATCAAAACATCATGTGACGTAAGAATTTGTCGGCGCCTTTGAAAAAAAGTGATGAACTCGATTATACTCTGCTTTCGTTCAGAGTAAAATTTCCAATGATAGAGGATTAACAGCAGATAAACGCATTAAATTCTGCAGCGAAAATGGACAATTTTAGTATGTTACACGATCACTTTTCAGCATGTTGGTCCAATATCGAAAAAAGTGATGGTAAAAAGTGATCGTGTAACCCGGCCTTAATGAATAGTTAATTCAGACTGTCAAGTAAAGAATTCTCCCAACCAAATATACACTGGCTTGTTAAGGGAAGGGGGCTGACCTCTCTGGAATCTCTCTTAATTTAAGAAAAGGCTCAGCCCACAAGCCTCTCTCACTGCACCGTAAATAGGTTTGGAGTAGGGATTTATATGTTTTGGCTAAATGACAGAAAAAGGGTTGGGGTACTTCCAAACTCGTGTTTCTGAAGGACATTGAATTTCAGACTTATACAAAAGGATAGTTGTGAATTTTTAGGATTTACATAACAGCCGTTGTATATTTAGTGAACTAAGCAAATCTTAGATGCCTTTATAATAGGAAAGGTTGATTAACATAGCGCCTTTAGGAGACACAGACGGAATCGATAAAGGGGAAACTGCAACTGTCCGGGAAATACATTGACTGGATGTCCGGGTCGGAAAGACATCAGCGAGAATACAGTTAAAACTCTTTATCTATGTCAAAAGAAATACTGTATGTGAAGGCAGTACTGTGAAATACAAATAAGGAAAATGAAAGATGTATTAAGACGAGTGCCTTGAATTGAAGCGCCGCAGAGGCCGGTGAAATGCAGGGGCAGGGCTACACTTTCGATAAATGTAAGAGGTAAGGACAGTTGAGAAAACCCATTCAATGGCGAGGTGCAGGCTAGATGTATTATACCGCAGGTGGTGACAAGACGGGTACTCGTGCCATATCAATGTCGTAAGGCAGTACTTCAACTAGCCCATGATCATCTCAGTAACCTCGGAAACAAGAATGCCAAATCCAAAATGCTGCAACGATCTTGTTTACCTTAGCTGTTCCACGATATTTTTGATCAACGCAGATCACGTGAAATTCGCTAGACGATGAATCACACAAGTCGAATGTTATTTAATGATACAAGGATTATCCTACCTTAATCGCTGAAAGAATGTGCCATTAATCGCACATGAAGATCATCACGGACAGTCAAAGAAAACAGCACTGTTAATAGAGTATTCCGTTTTCTTCTTTCGACGTTGACTTTTGGCAAAGGCCCACCTTCCCAAAATAAGGAATTCAGTAGATATAAGCGAGAACTCGGAGTAAGGCGCCATAAGACAACACGTCTCTGGCCACAAGAGAATTCAGAAGTCGAAAATTTCAATAAGTCACGAGAGAAAACAATTTGTGCAGCATGGATCGAAAAACGACCTTGGAAACAAGAACTTTCAACGACGACAGTTCCTCCAGCTGGAATGCTGGAGTGTGAGTAGTTGTTAGCAGGCGCGCAACCAGAAATTTCAGAGGGCAGGGGTCCAAGACACAAAAAGGGCACTAATTAAATTTCATTAAAGGTCCACCGGGGCATTTGTTTAGGAACCGCGAAAATATGAGCAGTTAGTAAATCTGTAAATATTGTACGCCAGACAAGGGAAACTGATCAATAGAGAAAAGTTGTGGTGTACGGTTTATTTTGTGGTGAGGTGTGATTTATTTTTTCCTTTTAATTTTAACTATGCATATGACTTCTTTCTGTCTGCCGTACAGTGCCGCCGAGAAGTTTAGGAGGCCCGAGGGAGGGGGGAAATGGAAAAAACAATGCCTCTTGCGAGCGAAGCGAGCAAAAATTTTGCCACCACACCCTTGCAAATAGCTTAAATTCACTTATTCGTTTAAGATGTTTTACTTTTTAATTGTAATTTTGTTACTTTTAATAAATTCCATTTAAAAACGGAATTCATTGCTTTGTGAGGCTCCCTAGACCTCGAGGCCCTAGGGCAGTTTGCCCCTTTGTCCCCCTCTCGGCGACCCTGCTGTCATCTCCTTTTCCCAGCGCCAGCTCACTTTTGAATAGCAGCCCATCATCTTCCATATCCGAAGACATTTTGCTCTTTGAAATATTATTATTGAATTCTTTGCTTCGCACTACAGTGGGAGTAGGTTGAACAGTTCCACGAGCCTTGCCTTCAGCTGGTTTCTGTCTCCAAGTCTTGCTTTCAGCTGATTTGTAATACTGACAAGGAACGGAACAGCTGAACATCAACTTTTTGTGCCATCTTTACTGCTTTCTAATACCAGTCCGCGAATATTTCTCTGCATTCGCTCGTTTCATGCAAAGGTCTTCTATGACCCTGTCAACTATGTGACAGGCTTGAAAAATGTCTTGGTCGACCCAACAAGCTCTTACAAGCTCTTACCAGAGGTCGTAGAGGCTCTATCCCGTTCAAAATCTTGTGCCTTTATTTTGGTTTTTGAGTCCCAGAACCATTCGTCTTCAAAGCCAGTGCGTGACGCATCTTAAAATACGCTGTAGAGTTGGGGCTTGAAGATATACTCTATTACTGCAACATGATGACGTTCGACCCAACAAGTGCGCGAAAGTTTGACTAAATCATTTATCTGTATTCCTGCGAGGTCCATTACATCTCCGGAGTGTGTCATTTACTGTATGACCAACCATTTTAGCGTAATAATCAAAATATTCAAGCAATTTTCCAAGAAAAAGGGCACTTTTCCCCTTTTGAGAAAAAGGGCAGGGGTCTGGACCCCCAGGACCCCCCCCCCCGTAGTTGCGCGCCTGGTTAGCATGTTGTTTTAAAGGTTTTAGAAAACACCAAGTACCAAGTTGATCATAAATGGACTTGTATTTGGTGGAAAGTGGCATGTTTTAAGCCATTTTATTACGCCTTCTCTTTTACAGCTATTGAGGCACTTGCGTGAACCTGTTTATCGCGGAAATTTTGGTATTTTATTTAATGAGAGGACGAAATGTTGTTTTACGCAATTTGCAGCATTATTTGTTCCTATTGCAAAATGGAAATCGGTTGGAAAAGACGGACTTTTCGATTTGTGACACATTTTATTGATTGAATTTTGCTGCAATATATCACGAAGCGGCCGCTGCGATTAGGCCCATTGTGGCTCCAAAAATTTCCGACCAAAAAATTTAGCAGATACTCCAACAAAAGTGAGGAAAATGAGCAGTTCTAGACACGCAAGCATAAAGTAAGTACCCCCGAGTTCATTGTAATAATATATCGCAAATCGGTGCAAAGATGAACTTTTTATTGCAAATGTTTCACAGGTACTTCAATCATCATGGCTCAATTTTTTTTGTTTTTGCGATATGTCGATACTGTTTAGAAATAGGCAAAAATCAAGAATATTCATGCATTAACTATTTCACCAGCAAACCTTGATGAATTATCCAACATATTCCAGTTAAAAAGTCATCTTATAACTTTTATGAAACTTACTATCTATCTATCTAAGTACCATGTCCCTTGTGGACGTAGGCGACCATGGATTTCCACAACTTTCTGTCCTTACAGGTTCTTATCAGACTCTGGACCTTATACCTTCCTTGCTGTTCCTCGGGAACTTGATCTTGCATCCTCTTGCTGAGACTTGTCAGGTAGTTCAGCCGAGGTCTTCCCCTTCCTCTCTTTCCTTCTATCTTGCCTGTGATAATAATCTCTTCTAAACCCTCTTTTCTCATGATATGCCCAATGAATTCGGCCTGTCTCTTTCTAATCATTTTATTTAGCTTTCTTTCTTCTCCGGCTCTCTTCAATACTTCTTCATTTGATATATGGTCCACCCATGATATTCTCAACATCCTTCTGAGGAACCACATCTCAACGGCTTCGATCCTGCTCTCCATACCGGCTGAAATTGTCCAGCATTCGCTGCCATATGTTAAGATGGAATAAACATAGCAGCGTAGAATCCTTTTCCTAGTTCCCAACGACATTTTCCTATTTTTCAACACTCTCTTTAACTTCTGAAAAGCTTGCTCAGACATCCCAATTCTGCGCTTGATCTCGGAGTCGCATTTTCCATCGTCTGTTATTAGGCTACCTAGGTAATTGAATGACTTTACTTGCTTTATTTATCGCCACTTTAATTTTGGTTTGCTAAAAAAATTTTGCTGCGGTGCGGCCATTTCTGTCTCAGCCTGTGCAATACTTTTGCTCACTAAGTGTATATTCTACATATCCAAAACAATATGTACACATATTTGATGATTAATTGATTGCGCTGCTTTTCTTTGGAGTTTATATTCACTTTGAAAAGTACAGTTGGATATTCTAGATTTTTACACATTTTCGCCACTTTCTAATTTGCGTATGCGCTAGCCTCTTTTTCACACAGGATAGCCTCGATTTGAAATTTAGCATAATTTTTGTAAATTTAGCATACTTTGATGACACTTTGGCATAAGTTCGAAATTGCCATCTGGTCACACTGGTTGCAAAAGATAATAAAATATTTGCCGTTTATGGCTGTAGTGTATTAGGCGCAAACCAGATTTGATCAGCATAGCGGTCAAATCTTTGATTGGCTGAGAGCTCTGTTCGCTACCATACTCTAAGCCAATCAGCACACAGGATTCTCACAACAAAATCGCTTTGGAGCTAGAATTAGGCCTATTTTCGCCATTTCAGCGTGTTTTTACCACATTGTCTACAAAAAACATTGCACGCCTCTACAGAGCGAATTTCCACCTTATTTTTTGTCCAGTTCATCATCATGCGTTGCTATTTAACCTATATTGGCGCCACTGTTCGATCGCAAAGAATAATATAAAAAAACACCTTGCAAATGATCGATAAATTTCGTGTCGAGATTCAGGTAAATTACGTTTTAACCTCTCCCCACCCAAAGCGCTTGAAACATTTCACATTTAGACAAAATCAATTATATACTTACCTTAAATCTAGGAATGGTTCATAATCCCGTCATAGATGCACTCACTGTTCAGCATTAGATTCGGTGGTGATCGCCTACATAGGCGTAAACTTAGGGGGGCTTTGGGGCTTCAGCCCCTCCTGACGAAAACCGAGGGGGGGCTGAGCCCCCCCTGGAAAATAAGTAAGTGCTGTACCAATTTTTAGATTAGTTTGTTATATTATTGGTGTCACGCATAAGATTTGTTACATTAGATAATTGCGTTTACAGCAAACAAAAGTATGAAATTATTGCGAACATAAGGTCAGATCCAACTCGAGGCCAATCCTTTAGAGAGGCTGGAAGCATCAGAGGTAAGCAACGTGCGATCTTTGCTGACGTGATACTAGCTATGGACAAATTTGTGATGAGATTTGTCAATTGGTGAACTTGTTGACACCTTCATTGTGAAAGAGTACATTTAAGATCCCAGTCTTACCGCGTGAGTGTATTCGCCATTTTCATCACATAAAATTAGTAATAATGGTCAATTGTCTTTGGCAAATCATGATTGAAATCACTTTGGGCTGTTGCTAAAATTTTTCACTTTTATGAAATCAATTTCGATTCCAGAGGACCAATATACATTTATTGAGTTCGAGGGTGAATATGAATGCCTTCGTGCCGTTGTGATAATTACATAGGCGATCACCACCGAATCTAATGCTGAACAGTGAGTGCATCTATGACGGGATTATGAACCATTCCTAGATTTAAGGAAAGTATATAATTGATTTTGTCTAAATGTGAAATGTTTCAAGCGCTTTGGGTGGGGAGAGGTTAAAACGTAATTTACCTGAATCTCGACACGAACTTTATCGATAATTTGCAAGGTGTTTTTTTATATTATTCTTTGCGATCGAACAGTGGCGCCAATATAGGTTAAATAGCAACGCATGATGATGAACTGGACAAAAAATAAGGTGGAAATTCGCTCTGTAGAGGCGTGCAATGTTTTTTGTAGACAATGTGGTAAAAACACGCTGAAATGGCGAAAATAGGCCTAATTCTAGCTTCGAATCGATTTTGTTGTGAGAATCCTGTGTGCTGATTGGCTTAGAACATGGTAGCGAACAGAGCTCTCAGCCAATCCAAGATTTGACCGCTATGCTGATTAGATCAGGGTCGGAGTCTTGTATCGTGTGCTCTCTAGGTCTAGCGTTAGGCCGCAGCGAATCTTAGGCATCGCGCGCATACACAACACTAAGTATGTAGTTTTGGAAGATTGCAGCTATCGTAAATCTTTGCCGAGTAACGTAAAAACAGGTCAGTCCCTTTCTGATTTTAGAGTAAATACTTATGCTGTGCTGCGTTAAAGCTGCCTAGAGCATCTCTTGCTGGTGAATGTGCTCATGGGCGAAAGGTAACATTTATTAGCATCGCATTTTAAATACTTTTTATAATATTTTATGGCCCCTCTGGTGTGGTGGTTGAGATGTAGGACCCACAATCAAAGAGTTATGGGTTCAAGTTTGCACTCCTCACTCCTGAGGGCAACACCTTTGGGAAGGTGTTAACACGAGTTGTGCCTTTATTGCGTCACCTACACACTTCAAAACGGGCATATGACCTATAGTGTAGGAGATAAGCAGAATAAATGCGCAAATCGTGATAAAAGCACGAAAATTTGTACAACATACAATTTGAAATGTTGAAAAAGATGGGACCAGGACCCAGTCTGAGAAATGCCCTTAAGAGCTATTTTTAGAATGATTCATTGTTCCCAGACCCTTGAAATTATCATCTCTTTAACTTTGTTGAAAATGAAATCAGTGACATGAAAATTAGTATAAATGCTAATCAAAACACGGAAATGTGATTTAGATTCACAACCATCATCAAAATGCCCCTAAATACTATTTTTACGCCACGTACTCGTTCCCAGACCTTTAACACGCTCATCTCTACAACTCTGCTAGAAATAAAATCAATAGCAAGCAACTTGATTTAGATAATAATTATAGCACACTAAAAGTTCCAGATTTTTTAAACATTCAAAAGCCATGCTAAGATGGAAAGAGGGATCTAAATTTAAGTAACTGGCAGCATGGTTTCTTTCAAAGCCACGGCGAAATTGTACCAGTTTGTGCGAAATTGCTATATGCTGGTGGCTCAAGTTCAGTACTACAGATACGTGATATGAAAGATAACGATATATTGTTTAGGCTCAAATTCTAATTCCAACAGAGGACTGTATAACTTCGATAAATCAACGTAAATTCAAATAAGAATCCAACTTGGACCCGTTCTAATTCTGTGACGTCTCTAATCTCATCCAATTCTAATCTATTTTCTAATGCGTAATTCAATAAGTATAAAATGACAACAACAACAACTATTGAGGACTACGTCGTACCATACACTTTCTTACACCGTTGTTTTTATCTGCTGTTTAATTTGTTTGCAAAAAAAATAACATTCAGTATGATTAAGAGGATTGCTTTAGTGAAATTTGCTTAAAAGAGTGCATTTTCCAGGAAACTGGAAGCATCAAAATTCGAAAATTTCTTGGCCCTTCGACACCATGGTTGGCGGCAAGAAAAATTTTAGAATTATGGTGTCTTAAGGATAGCCAGAAACTGTATCTAAAATGAATTTCACTGAAGGTGTCGCATAGTTGCGTCTATTGTAATGTTGACTTGAAATAGAGAAGTTTTGCAAAGTTTTAGAATAACCACTATCTTATAGCTCGTAATGAAACCTTTTTTTAAATTTTAAAAGTACCCGAAATAAGATGGAGGAAAAAAATAAACGAAACACGGATTAATAAAAAACATTAACGTTGAAATATCAACAGAAGAACTATCAACTAAAAATAAAAAGTTAAGCAGTTTCGTACAGTTCAGATGTAGCTAATTTTGTAACATCTGATCTCAACTAGGCTTGTCAAAATGAATTTACATCGAATTTATAATTGCGTCGACATTTTCTCTTTCTTAGTAGGAATGGATTATCAAAATAATCAAACTCTGAATTTTTCTTGATGAAACTTTTTAAGAACAAATCTGCCCATACTTTATTTCTCATATCTTCAAAAAAGTTTTTTCCAGCTGTTTCTTTCCCTACAACAGCTGATTTCACCCTTTTGATGTGTTTCTGAGAAAGTTTTCGCTCGCAAATAGAACTTGTGTGCCAAGATGTTATCTATGGAAAAGACATAGCAACCAAGGACACATTTAACCCTATCCAGACTAGGCTTTTTGAAACTTTCGGGAGACTAGGGGGGGGGGCACTAGCTAAGACAATGAACTTTGTTTGGATGGTACTCTTATCTAATCTCCACATTTTAGTACTATTGTTTCATATTAAAGTCACGCGGTTTAACGATGACGTCATCATAATGGCCACCGGGTGTAGCAAAAGTTAGAAAAATTTAGAAAATCTTTAAAGATTCATAAATTTCAAAGCATCGGGCTAAGATTTCAAAATAAGCAAATTTAACGCATTTTCTAGCAGAAACAAGAAGAATGACACAATACAATATTATTTTTACAAAATTATTAAGTTTCCAACACAAGCACTCCACATATTTTGTATTTGGCTATAGTTCTTTCTGCATAACTAAATGATTGATATAACCAAATGTCATGTTTAAGTTCATTTTTAATGCTACTAACCTTTAATTACTAATTTTCATCGGTATATCAACTTTTGTTGCGAATCCGTGGCAGATTACACTTTTTTTGCCTGACTTGTTTTGAAAATCCCCTACATAACCCCCTGATTAACCAAAAATTTTTATCTTTTTATATGAACATGTGTCACATAGGTTAAAACTGAAAGTCAGGAGGTCTGAGGGGTATTGCTTTGAAACTCGTGAAGTTATCAAAGAAAAACCAACTGGGGGGCACTTTGTGTCCCCCTCTAGTCTGGATAGGGCTAAAAGAACACTAGGCAAAGTTACTTACAGAATCATATACAACATTTATTTCCACTTTTGCTTAAAATTTTTCTTTAGCTCTGCAGAAAAGTGGGGGGGGGGGGCATGGCCGGCCCTGCAGAGATGTATTCAAAGAGAATGCTCGAATTCGATTAAATACATTATTACTTACTAGGCTTTTCTTTTGAGATTTCGCAGTTATTTAAACCTTCAGGTGACCTATCCACATCACAAAGTATTTTCGTCAAAGCATCTATGTCATTTTCGCTATTTCTGCAACAGGTCCCCCTGTCCAGGCCATTCCACATGCTCTAAGGAAGTAATCCTAAACCACTGTCTGTTTCCACAGGCATCACGAACAGGTTGTTATTTCGTGCGTGCCATTGAAAGGCCTTGGAGGGGTGCTACTGCTGCAACTGTTGCAAAAGTTCGAAGACCGCGGATCGATGACTACCTATCGCTGATTATTTAAACATTCTTTTGATTTACGTCAGACCAAGCCATGTTAATCGCCAAGTTACTGAAGACAACAGTCAAAGCTCGAGATTCAACGTTGTCATGGGTAGCTTTACTCGCATCTATTCTGCTTCTTTTTACAACGAGCGGGTTTCTCTTCAGCTTTGGAATATTCTATAATTCATTCTTAGAAGAATTTGGGGATTCAAAGGAGAAAACAGGTAGGTGGCATTATTTTACGATATGCTTAAACTAAGCATGCTTCTTTTTATTTGCAACGAGGGACGCCGATAATTTTTTATGCTAAAACATTAGAGAAGAGCTATATTTGAGTGTTTTTAAAAAGCCGATTTTCAACGTTATTTTACAGTTGAATGTTTCCTTGGTATTTTATCCCACATTTTCATGCGTTTGCTGAGAAATATGAGAGGGATAAACACGACAGATGTGAAATCTGCAATGAACATCACGGTACCTGGTCACGTTATCAAACAACCCAGCTCAAAGCCGCGCTGTACTATTAACCTTTAGCTGTTAGTGCAGGTCTGCAGGAGATTTTTTACTTCTATTTGGCCTAACCACTAATCACAAAAAAGAAGATCGGTGGATGCAGCGAACTTGATCTATAAAAAACGTTTTACCCTATAGAACGATCTAGAAACTTGAGACAGCATGAAAAGAGAGATGCCAATAAACTTCAACAATAGTTTTCAAAAGTTTTCAACGATACTAGTGTTATTTTTACCCATACTTTCACACCGCTGTCACAAATTTTGATACATAAGCTTCTTGGATCAATTCTGTCTAGAAATTTATTATCTGTTCTTTTGAAAGGAGCAAAGTATAATTCAATGGTTTTTCACTCTAATTGTTCTGTCATCTCCTCTGGCTATTGAGTGAAAAAGCAAGAACAATCGTGCACTTAATGAAGAAAGCATGAAAATCGGTATACCTATAGACTTTGACATGCTGAAAACGATGAGATCGGGACCCAAACTGTAAAATACCCCCAAAGAGCTATTTTTAGCCGATGGTACTCGGACCCAGTCCTCTGCAAATAATTCTACCAATTTTCATCATTCTTCCATATCAAAAGTATTAAAGGTTGTAGAAGTGTATAATCAGGCATGTAAACAAAATAATATTGATATCTAAAAAATAAAGTTCTATTTTTAGATGGGGTTCTTGGTCCCAGACCTCCAAGAAAGGTGCTGATTATTTTTCTGTTGTCTTCGGCAGCAAAATACGAAAATTACTTATATTATAGAGATAGAGCTCCGCATAACAATAAAAGCAATAATTTTTTTTAAATTGCCCCACGACCTATTTTTAGAAAGGGGTGCTTAGATCCAGACCTCTCCAAAGTTTTGAATTTTTCATCAAGCACACAAATTTCATTGTCCCAGTGGAGTTTTATTCAAATCATCAATTCGGTAATGACAGTCGCTAAAGGGCTATCTTCTTGGTGAAAATTGTATTAAAAAAGCTTTTTAGCATGGGGTGAAGGCTTCTGAAATGCATCTGTGCCAAAATTCCTCAAATGTGCAAGAATAGAATTTACGCAAACCTATGCTCCCATATACTTTCTAAGATAGGTCGGTTGAAAATGCCTGCAGGTACTTGTTAGAAAATGCCTATTGTGTTATCTAATGTCAGCTTTCAGTGAATAATTTCGAATTGTCAAACAAAATCAACATCCTGACGAGATTGAAAGTTTAAGTGTCTAATTCTTCGAAGCACTGCCCATTGCACATGCACGATTCTGCACGTTCCAAACCAAACTGTCTGCATTTACATCTTGTCGAACATTTCTGCTTACATCCACATTTGATAAGCTTCTGGCGTGCCTTCGAGGCTTCTGTGACAAGCATCCATAACGATGACACATTTTCAATCGTTGTATTCCAACTCCATGCTGTAATCGGAGTCAGATGCTTGGTTTTCATTGATTAATACTAGACAAACCTTTCAAGGAAAGAATGCACTTGTAGTGCCATTCCCTCCCAGAATATTTGAAATCATAGCGAGCCTGAATTTTGGGATGGGGTTGAGCAATGAAAGCTAACTTTCAAAATGACTTTGGAAATTGCATGAAGTAAGTTTTGGATAGCAACAGAACCAGAGAAATGTTTGATGTTGTGAAAGCAATAAGGAGCTTCAAGACCAGAATCTTTAATATTGTTCTGCTATCGAAAGCTTTTTTCGCCTTTAAGAAGGCAGGTCACCCAATATTATCAATGCATGCTTCAAATTTCAAATTTCAACGTGAATAGTTTTTCAATAGTTACCCAGCTTGAAATATAGTTTTATTTGTATGTTGGAGAAGTGCATCATTTGTTGGTGGCAAAATTTCACTTGCCTAACTTTTCTTGGTGAACAGATGTCTGCGACACACATTTACGTCGTGGAGTGAAGAAATTTCTTGGTACATCGATGCAACGAAACGCTCTATCATCATCATATCAATATCCTTAGGATGGCTATTATCACCATTCGACAGTCTGAAAGATAGGAAGGATTTAAATAGCTATCAAACAAACGCACTACTTTAAATGCAAAGTCTGTTGATTAATCTTTATACTGGAAGACTTGTTCAGCAATTCCAGAAAAAACTACCATCATTGTTCTTTGCTCTGAAGTTCTCTTGTATCTCTGTGACAATAAGCTGGAAACTGTTCTATCAAAAAAGAATTTAGTTACTATGAAGCTTTAATGTCAATCACGTAAAGAACACACCTTACGAAGCTATCCGTTATTCTTTCCTTTCCCAGAAAATGGCGATACCCTTTCACAGCCAATGAATGCCTACCAAAATAGGAGGCCAAGCATATACATAGAGGTGAACTGGTAACCAACGCTTTGATTAATCGACCCCAAACATTATCCATAATTCCTCGAAATCCAGTGTTTGGAAAAGTATGATTGCGATGACAACAATACCAGTGTCAGCAGTTCTTGTAGCGACTTTGCTATGACCGGAATCCAGGGGCGGGTCCAGAGCAAATATGAAGTTAGGGGCAGCTGAGGAAATTTTCAGAAATTGGTGACGAGAGTCCGAATTCAGCAATTTCTGACCCTAACTACTGACAGAATGCTCTTCATTCACGTTCTTAGATAATTTTATTAGTTGCCCCCTTAAGTCTGCCTCTGCCGGAATCAGCACAATGTTTGACATGCAGGAAAATGCGTATGTCTGCCACTTCATGATTGCAAGGAGCTGAAAACCTATGATCGTTTGTTTCTGACTGTAGCACTTCTTCAGAATCTGTAGCAGCTATGACACAATTTGCCAAAGATTGGCTTGTCAAATCGACAACAAGAAAATGAAACAGCTCCATTTTGTTTTCATCATTTCGTAGAAATAGTTTGCCAATTTTTTCACATAGGTGTAATTTCATTGACAAAGATTCGAATTCAAAAACCTTGCCCTTCTTTCATTTCTGGTTTCAGGCTACCACCTATGTATTTGTCAAAAATAAAAATTGACTCGCTGCATTTCATTGGTTGAAATTTTGGTAGAGGTCTGGACCCAATGACACCTTTCTAAAAATAGATTGTGGGACAATTTAAAAGATGTGATTGCTTCTATCGTTATGAGGAGCATAATCTCTACAATATAAGTAATTTTCCAATTTCATTGCCGGGTATGACAGAAAAATAATTACCAACTTTCCTGGAGGTCTGGGACAAAGAACCCTATCTACAAATAGAATTTGGGGTAAATTCATTTTTAGATATAAATATTATTGTATTTACATGCCTGATTATACACTTCTACAACCTTTAATGCTTTTGATATGGAAGAATGATGAAAAATTGGTGGTAGAATTAGTTGCAGAGGACTGGGTACGAGAACCATCGGCTAAAAATAGCTCTTTGGGGGTATTTTACAGTTTGGGTCCCGATCTCATCGTTTTCAGCATGTCAAAATCTTTAGGCATACCAATTTTCATGCTTTCTTCATTAAATGCACGATTGTTATGAAATCCGCCACTGGTTGCCCTCACTAGGCATGGAATCTTGCTCAGGAAAGCCAGGCATCAGCCGAAAGAACTACAAATAAACTTACGAGAACGAGAGCTAATGAGGCCTTGAGTAAATGGGGCTTGTAAGTGGCAATTCTATTTATAACTTCAGTTTTTCTGCTTTTTCAAAATGTCTATAAGTTGTGGTAGGCAACGTGCACAAAGTTTTAGTTTATCCGGCGGCAGACTATCCCTTAACAAGCCGATTACGTTTGGTTGATTTGGAGAATTCCTTACTTGGCATTGTAAATAAACCCTATGCTAAGCTATTGCTTTTCCACGAATAAGCAATGTCTATTAGCCTTTTAGAGTCAAAGAATAGTTTAATTGATTTGATTTAAACAACAGAAAATCTTTGACACAAATGCAGTTATATAGGATTTTGCAATGGTTGTGATCTTGGATGTGGCTTCTAGAGGCTTTCTACAGCACAATCCTATTTCAGAGAGAGATTCTATTCGTTGTGGTATACCGCGAAAACCAGATCCAAAATCCAGGAGCATTAAGTAACAAAAGTACATCAAAGGCTTGATAATTTAACAGCCTATTCAATTTTAGGCTGTTAAAACACCCAGAAGTCCTACTGTTTCTATGTAAAAACCTTTCCCCGAAATTCCTATAAAATAATTGCCCTATATTTTGATGTGTATAATGTGTTATGTTTTAACACTGCAGTCTCACTTTGAAAAATGATGTGATGAATTTCTATCTCTCTTAGCATGGGTCGGTTCAATTCCAGTTTCACTGATGTTTCTCTTGGCACCATTGGCATCTTGGCTCCTAAGCAAGATTAGCTTGGGAGTCGCTGTAGTAGCAACAGCAATCCCGTTGGGACTCTCTCTTCTATTGACGTCATTCATAACCAATATCAATGCAGCCTTTTTCACCTTCAGCATCCCTTTTGGATTAGCCTCTTGTTTAATGATTATGGTTACTAACAAAGCCGTTTGCATCTACTTTGACAAGAGGCAGTCAACTGCATATGGTGAGTTACAAGGAAAACACTATAAACCGAGAAAATCCCTTTTTTCATCCGAGAAAATCCGATTTCTCAAAACTTCCAACTAGTTTGTCCCGGTTTCTCAAATTTTCCAACTTGTCCCAATCTGTCAAGATCTCAACTGGTTTTTGCGATTTCTCAAGATTTCCAACATGTTTTTCCAATTTGTTAAATACACGACTGGCACGAAGGCCAAATAACTCCAAGAAAATCTCTTACAACCTTGGCAGAAATCTTTTTTTAGCAAGTCTCTAGAAATCCTGTGTTTTGGTGGATATCTTGTGCGTTATTTACAAGAGTGGATTGTCCCTTGAACTGAGATGCCGAATTGTTTGTTCAGAAGTTATTCCACCTCTTGTTCGGATTTCTCAAGATTTCCAACATTTTTGACCCACTCCGAAAGCATAGCCAGAACTTCTGAAGATGTGATTTCTCCTCAGTCTTACTTTATTTAGAACATATAGAGATATGATAATCTCAAACCACACTTTAACCTCAATTACATTGGTCTTAGTTTTTAAATTTTATCCCTTATTGTAAATTTTATCCCAATAAATTTCATTTATTATATCGCCCATCATTTTTCAGGTTTGCTTACTGGAGGATGTTGTATTTCTCAAGTTGGCTTGTCCTATATCATCATATGGCTTGTGAATAACTTTACATTAGAAAGAACATTTCAAGTTCTAGCAACGGTTATAACATTAGCTTGTTTGATTTCATCGCAAGGGTTTTTTCCTACAACCTACGAAAGCGATGAGAAAGTGAATTCTGCGAGAAAGAAGGGACTCAACGTGTACTTTCATCTGCTCAAAAACAAAGCATTTTGCCTATACCTGTTTGCAATTTTTGTGTGTTCATTTTCCTACTCTGTTTCCAATGTTCATCAGGTACGTAAGAGGGTTTGAGTAGTTGAAGGTTAAAAACAGTTCCTTAGTTTCCTTAAAAAGTTTCATCTCAAATAAGGGATCTAGATTAAACAAGATTAATGTCATTCTCCTCAGTCCTGGTTTCGACTGCGCAATTATTGTGATTAAAACAAACTACTTGAAGGCTTTTTGCTGTAATCACGATAAGATATCATTTCAATTCATTTAATTTCATTTCAATTGAAGACGGCGCAGAAGGCCTGGGTACTAGTGGAATAGAAACAGGAATTGAATGTGACCTTATTGGCTCAGAGATTGACCTCGCAGTTCTTTTAGTCATTCAATTTTTCTAATATTTCTCAACAAAAGGCTTGTCGTAATAATAATAATAATCATTGTTATCAATAGGTCCTAAGAACTAACTTAAAAATACAAATTATTTATAGCTGGCTTGAAATGGAAATAATTTCCATTTTTAACATTTATTTATTCATTTTTATTAGTTTAACCCTCAGCAACATTATATTTTCTATCTTTATAGCCCTGTTTTTTTTAATGTTTCTACGTTTTTTTTCAAAAATCTAAAGTTTGGTATTAAAAATGACGGCGGTCAACGTGTATATTGTCACTGATCTAAAAAATCAACTGTGTATATTGGTTGTGAACTTTACAGAATACAATAAATCGACTTTAAAAACAATCATTCCCAGTTCGGGCTTCGTACAATCAGAGAATTCTGGATTCGCGCTTTGCTTTGTTTTGCATTTGGCGCCATCTCCGTCACTACGCATGCGTCCTAAAGAAACTAACCCAGGTTCGCCCCAGGTTTGCGTTTACACTACACTTTATCTGAACTAACCCAGGTTCGACCTAGGGTGAACCCACCTTTTGAGATGGGTTGACTAACCTGGGGCGAACCTGGGTAAGTTTGCTTTTACACTCCAAAAATCTAACCTGAGTTAGTTTTAACCTGGGGCGAACCCAGGTTAGTTTGTGTAGTGTAAACAGGGCTAAAGTGTATACCTCACTGAGCTAGACTTAATTTCCTATATTTATGCTAATAGCCATGGGACGACCGTTTTCTTTTACCCCCTCCCCCCCCCTGGTTTAACAAACATGACAAGTGACAACCGTGCTTTTTATGTGAATATGTTCTTTAACTGGTCAGATATAAGAAACTTATAAATTTTACCGTATTGAAACTTACTTAATCTTTTTATGAGTGGGAGTACTCGAAAACATTACATCAGCAAATTTAATATTTTATGATTTATCTGTGCAATTCATTTTTAAATAAAAATGATATTATTCCCATAATCACGTTGATATACGGGCTGATCCGAATAAAGTTTGATATGTATTATAGGACATGATTTCTCTATTTTTTAAAGGCTCTTGCGTAACCGGCATGCTTAGCGGCAGTTGTCTTGAGCAATTGACCTCCGCAGAGGCTATTGGGGAGGGAGATCGGGAAGGGAAAAGGATAGAATAAAAAGAACTGCTGAAGAAAAGAAAAAAATGATGGGCCTGCAAGGGAGAAGGAGGAAGATAGTTGCAGCACACCGTATTTTCCCTTTCCTCTTCTCCTCCGCCCTCTCTCTCCTATTCTCCGCACCCTCGCCATTTCCTAATCCCCATCTCCCTAGGCCGGTCTTTCTATCTATAGTCACAAAGCGTGCCGATTGCGCAGGAGCCTTTAAACGTTTACCTAGAACTGTATTATATATAGGGAGTTCATTATAAAACAGGAGTGTATAGACATATATCTTGCTCTCACATTCGCTTGTTTTAGGTACAACTAGCAATTGGGTATGGCACTTCACCGGATTTAGCAAGACAGTTCCCTGTATTTTCGGCTATTGGAATGGGTTGTGGTAGATTTATCTCTGGCTTTATCGTCGACAGCAAGAAATTCAAAACAATCAACTACTACCAGTCTGTATTGTTTCTAAATGGGTTGACAGCAGTCATTGGATCATTTTCATACACCCCAATACACTTGATTGTCTATATTTGGGCATTTTCCTTTCTGGATGGGCAAATGCAATCTACTTTTGCACCAGTTGTTAGGGAAGTAGTCGGTATGACGTACATGACTGAAGGCTTTGCAATGGTCTTTACCTCATGCAGTGTATCCATGATGCTTGGACCACCTTTATTAGGTATTTGTAAGCAACAATTTTTTATTTGTGCTGTCATTTATAAGAGGATGTTGTTATTTCTTAAGTAATTGTGAGGTATTCTACCAAAAGGGTAGCAACTAACGAATTGAGATTTGCACTGAGAATTGCCGCGTAGAATTACCTTAGATTCAATAGATTAAGAACGGGGAAAGCAATTGCAAATGAAATTGTAAAGTAAAGGAGAGACCATTGACTCTCTAAGGCTCTGGTACCCAGGGTAGCGGAAAATGTGTAATTGGACTAGTACCAAAAGTCTATGCATGGCGTGTAGATGGTTTTGCAGCTGCAAGATCACCGATAAAACTAAAAATAAATTCATATATTCTCAATGCAGTGCGGAGCCTATTGGAGTGTACAACTCCTGCACACTCATTCTTCCATCTTTCCATGCTATGGCAGGCTGTGATGCAGCAACTTAAATGTTTAGGTCTTGCAAAGTCAGAATTATGAAAAAGCTCATAAAGGATCCAAAGTTATGTGGCTACTTGCCTTCAGTAGGATAGTGTACAAATTTTTCAAACGAGGATACTACATAGGTGAAGAACTTCTTCAAAAATAGTCATGTACGTAACCACCGGATAAAAACGAGACCATGATTCTGCTGTCCAAGCCATTCTTAAAGTGCACTTTCGATTTGTCGAATTTAATGAAAAGCATGCTAAAAAATTTACTATTGACTACTTCTATTGGAAGGCATAAGCAACAAATTCCACCTAGTTTTACGTCAAAAAGCAGCATTAAGAAGAGAACACGCCGTCTAACGCAAGCGATGCAAGCACATCAATATAACTAGTAGATAGAAATAGGAGGAGACTAGATACTAGAAGTTGGATAACCTTGTTAACACCATGCTTTCTTTGCGAGATTTTTGCGTTGCGTTGTTTGATATTCATCACTGAACACTGAAAGCCAACGTTTTTGATTTTTTTAAGTATGGAAATTTTCTGTCCGTAGGAATGGATTCTTTTTTATACTAACATTACAATCCTTTTTATAACATATTTTACATTTTAAGAGGATTTTTGACAAAGAAATTAGTTTTGAATGCATGTTGATTCGCCATTTTGATAAGGTCATGAAATTTATAAATACCTATTTCTTGCTATCTGTAAAAAATACGATAGTGATCATTTAGACACTTTTTCTATAAATGGTGAGTTTTACTCGTTGGAGTGGAAAATTGTTGAGAGTCTTAACAAAAAAATTTGTGTAGCTTACAGAAAATGACGTCATCAAAATGGTGTCATCTGAATGACGTACAAACCTTGATGTTATTTGGTTCCTTCTGGCTTTTTTCAGGTTTTATAGTTGACAAGACTCAAGACTACAGAGCGTTCTTCCTGCTGTCAGGGATACCTCCAATATTAACATGTCTGCTTCTGACGCCACTTAGGTATATGGAAAAAGTCGAAGTCCCTGATAAAGAAGTAAACGAGAAATTGACGGACGAGCAAGATATAGAGGTGGATGTTGAGGTAATATTTAAAGATAAAGATATACTTAGGTCAATGCGCTTAGAAACACCTGTATGATAAGATTCTAAGGGACTGGTCATTAATGCTTACTTTGGATGTGGGGAATATCAGTACCAGAATCTGTGCCTGGGTAAAGTGAGAAGGTTTTGCAAGTTTACCTTGCAGCTTTCGTTCCTCTACTTGTCTGACAAATAAACTCTCAAATAATCAAATAATACTTTTCCTTTTATGTAAATAGTGCTATTTATTGAAAAAAAAGGATAAAAATTTGTTCTATCGTCACAGAGGGGACAGATCAGTTTTTCATAGCAAAGAAGGTATGAAAAACAGACGAAGAATTTGAAATTTACTCTACCCCCTCTTAAGTAAAGATTATTGGCCGGTCAGTTAGTTACGATAAGCAGCGTGTTTGAACAAGCAACTTTTCAAATTCAATAAGCTCCGTTTTAAAGGAACTAGTTTAATTCTCCAAGATAATGTCTTGGAAATAAGAATTTTCTACATCAAAAGTGCTTTTAAAATTGAATATGGTATTTGTGTAACAATGCCAACTGTCATTTGATAACGTCAAGTGGAATATAATTTTCTGAAAGATCAAAGACAATTTGTAACTTTTATTACTAAGTAATTAAATAAGCATTTTGAATAATTAAAAGGAGTCCAGTTATCTTAAAGTTCTATGTTCTCTGAGAAAATTTTGCATGAAGAAACCTGGAAAGTTTTTATAAACAATTTTTCACAATGATTTCTACTTGAAAGGAAGACTAAGTTTATCTGAAATTAATACCTAACTTCTAAAAATTCCCCCAAATAAAGCAAGAAAAAATCATCATGACATTTCCCATTTGGTGTTTTCTCAGTGGAAACAGAGTCTAATATTTTAATTCTAAAAAGTGCTTAATTCAAATTTTAAAAATTTTCGTGACTTCACAATTGTATCTGTTTGTTTTAAACCGTATTAACACAGTGTCTCAGACATTGCTCGAAATACTGGTTGCCGCACGTGCAAAAGACTGTAGAAATGTAAATCTAAAACAAAATAATCTTTGTTGCCACATTGAAACCAACCCTGTTTTCACTCAGGGGTGCCGTCCTAAAAGGTTGGAAAGAAGGGCTGTGCCACACCAATAATCACGCCTCATTTACTTGCATTTGAGCTTGTGAATTTTTAGGATTTACGTTACAGCCGTTGTAAATTTAGTGAACTAAGAAAATTTTAGAGGCCTTTATAAAAGGAATGTGCATATTAAAGAAGGACGTATATTATAATCCAATTATATTATTGCCCGCAACTCGCGCGCGATAGCGCGCGAGTGAAGGGCTCACAGTCTGCCCCGCGTATAAGTAGCATATGGAAGCTTCAGTTCATGTTGTCAGCACTTTGTCAGCAGATTTTGTCACTTTTCTGCTGCCATGACAACTGTCAATCAATTTCATTGTCAATCAATCGGCTTTGTCGAGGAGGTCGTTAACCGCCAACTCTTTGTGCGGAAGGGAATTATCTTCGGAGAGTTGCTCTGCCAAGACTCTGTTAAAGGCCTTCGGTTTTTTTGGCACGAAAACGGTGCTGCATCACAGCTCGGTTCTCCGCAATGGATGGAAGTTTTGATTCGAAGTTTTGGGAATCAAAACCAGTCGAATGCCACACCTTTCTCCCAAAAACTCGACACCGTGCGAGCAAAGTTATGATTGTCGTGATTATAGCCTGTACATCGCTGTACGAATCCTTTATCGCAATCGATTTTAGCTGTACCCGTTCTATCACGTGTCCATTTTCATACGTCTTTGCTTCACGAAAACGCAAAATAAATGTCAAACCCTAGAAAAACTTCATGATTTTCAAAAGGGCGTTGGACTTAAATCAAAGGCAAACTGAACACCAAAAATTCTTGATAAAAAGAATAGGTTGCATCAACTAGAGCAGCTTTTTTAATAAAAGTTTGAGAACCTAAGATGGTGTTTTCTTCTTCAGAAATATCCTGACCTAAAATTT